TTTTTTACATTTTTAGAATATTTTATAATTTTCAAAAATGAAAAAAAAACATTTCAAGCTCAATYCTAAAATATTTTTGTTAACAGACATTGTATTACTTTTTTCATATATTATTTTAATCGACGACAATTTAATATATCCTAGTTTCCATATAAGATAGGCATATTGAATGAAACTATATTTAACTATACTTTTTACATCATGAGATTGCATTACCTGTCTAGCCATCGTATGTTGTATGTGTATTTGTTTTCTTTAGTTTATGGTTTTATCTTGCAACAATGGCTTATACCTTCGTCGTCAAAGAGTTTCATGCATGTGAATTAAATTCGTAGAAATTTGATGCAAACAATATTTCCCTTGATTTTATATTATGTATTTTGTATATCAGTCGTGTGTTATGTGGGGGCGTAGTAACTTACTTGATTTTCAGGTGTTTAAAAAAAATCTATATTTAGTTCTAAATCTGATACAGTACAGATMATATATACGGTACTGGTATATTACCTAAGACATACAGAGTGTTTTTTCATTAACCAAAAATAAATACTATATATATATTAATTTTAATTGTTCTGTACTTTCAAAAGTAACTAACTAAATAACARCTATACAGAACCATAATAAAGTAAAATATCTATAATGTACTTTGTTCAAACATTTTAAGTGAAGACGTTAAAATTATCCAACGGGCTACGACAGGCGAGATTAATCATATCTTAAATGTCATTCGATGCGGATTAAAATATGTAATAAATAGTATATTATTGTAAATAAAATCCAGATTGTTTTATTGCAAMACGTTCAATAATGACCTTAAAATAAATACCATGTATACTACCCAAAATTCGAGACCCATCATTATACATAGTAAAAAGTATTATGATGGAACTCATAATGTATTGCATAATATATAATTTATATAAATATATTGGTACCCTCTACTTACGAATAAGTAGATTTTTTTTTTTAAATGTACGCTTTTCGAATATGTAGACTGTAAACTTTTATTACTTTTATTCTCCTTTTTATATAGACATCAAACACTTGTATTGGGATAAAATGGGCATGTTGTCTCAAAATAATAAACTCTAATATTTTTTTCAGAATATTTATTCATCACGGTACCCAACTGGTTTTTAGTGCAGTACGCATAAAATAAATGGGCTGAATAAATGTAATTGATCCAAAGTTGAATTGTATAATAGCCTAATGCACTTAAATTAAATAATTGATTAAATCTTTCAGTTCAGTTAAATAAATGYAATAAAATGAACAAAATAAGAATTATATAAATAATATATTTTAATATTTTAAAAATACAGTATGACAATAAAAAAATACTAAATCGAAATGCAAATGTTTTTATAATATATGACATTTATTTGATTTCATATACGAACATTCTCAATAAAAGTAACATTTACGTACATTTTATAAATTAATTTTAAAATAAGTGTTCGTATGTATGTTACAGTAAATGATGTTAAACATCAAAATAACGTTATTTTCTAGTAAATAACAATAATTAGTGTAATAAGAAGTGTAAAACAAATAAATGCACCTGTCGATTAGTAGGAAAATTATGCAATTCAAAATGTCACAGTTCATTGTCATGTGAAAATAAATAATAATATAACAATTTAAATACAAATAACATGATTAACTA